CAGCAGTCCCCCATCCACACAGCAGTCCCCCATCCACACAGCAGTCCCCCATCCACACTGCAGTCCCCCATCCACACTGCAGTCCCCCATCCACACAACAATCCGCCATCCACACAGCAATCGTACTCGCAATAGTCAAAAGATGAAAACCACCAAAACAGTCCACCAACAAACGAATAGGTAAAACGTGGTATATGCACACAGACACGGGTGTCTGAGTAGTATTCAGTATTTCACAGGAAAGAAATCCTATCCCAGGCCACGACCCGGATGAGCCCTGAGGACATCGAGGCAGGTGAAATCAGCCAGTCACAGAGAAACCGTGAACCCACTTCAGTGAGGTACCAAACCCACAGACAAGGGCATGTGGTTGCCTCGAGCCGGGCAAAGAGGAGGCCAGAATGGAGGCTCGTTTTCTAATGGGTGGAGAATTCCAAGGTTGCAAGGAGAGTTCTGGAGCCTAGCTGCAGACCACGTGACTGTCTTGGTGCCACGGAACCGTACGCTTAATGGTGAAGTGAGGGCTGAGTGGGGAGCTCAGGGATGGGTCTCTTATCCAGGCCAGGCCCTGGGGTCCATCCTCAGCGTTCCGGGGGGAAAAAGGTTAAAATGGTAAGTTGGATGTTATGTATATTTTACCACCATAAAAATAATAGCTTCCCAAAGGTGCCCAGCCCTGGGTCACACCAAGCCTTACCTGGGAACTCACTGCATTTTAACAAGATCCTCTGGAATCCTGTGCACAGTAAAGCCTGAGAGACATTGCCACTAGAATATCCTGCCACTCCGGGCAAGGATTTTGTAGGGACAGCCCTTCAGTACAAGGTATAAATGAGGGGGCGGCACTCTGAACACCTCTCCCCTTCACAGGTGCATCCGGACCTCAGGTGGTGATGGTGGGTCCAGCCTCCCGGGTTCCCACCCCAAGCACCAGGGAAGGGGGTCTTCGCTAAGGGGATTTGGGCGAGCCAGCCATCAGCTGAGATAGCAGAGCTCCCTCCCAGCCATGTTTAGTTTGGCTGTTTGGAGCCCTTTAGCCGCCAACAGAAGTCACCCCGGTGCCTTTGAGCTCTGCTACAGATGAAATTAATTCCTCCAGAGCCAGGGAGCGGGGCGGGCGCAGGAGCGGGCACCAGGCTGGTGGAGCAAACTGCTTTGGCAGCAGCTGTTCCATTTGGGGAACTAATGACACTCGAGGAAAAAAAACCTGCCAAGAGATGCCAAGAACTTGTTTGCTCATGGATCGGAGGTAGCCTTGGCCAAATTGGACAGCTAGGCAAAAATGTCCATCATTCTTTTTTTTGTTCAATTTTGCAGCTCTGCCTTGCAGTTCAGAGAGAGAAGCAATAAACCAGTGTCTGTCCCCAAGTCACCCCTCAGCTTCCCAAAGAATCAGGGAATAGATGTTAGGGATTCCAGAAGATCATCTGCCCAGCCCACAGATGACTCACTCACCACCCAGCGCTGGCATTACCTCCTTAATGTTTCTTGCAAACTGTTTGGCTTGGTGCCGCCTCTTGGAGCCCGGGCATATCTCTTGGCAGCAGGTACAACCTTTGAAAAGCCACAAGCCCCGGGTGAGCGAAAAATATAATCCATTTTACTTCCTTATAACTGGGTTTTATTATTTTCCAGAGTCCCCACTCTATCTGGCTGCGGAAAACCTAATCCAGTTCAGTTGAGAATAAATTTGGACAATTGGGGAGAACGCTGCAAGTTCAAGGTTATATGAGTAATTTCTTCATCTGCTCCTGTTTATGGCCTCCAAGCTCCTTTGAATACAGGAATATTCAGAAGTGAAAGCACTAGATTAGGAGAGTGGTAACCTAATCAGCCCATCCTGTTTGAACGGACTCACTGGGTGGTAACAGGTGGGGTGTGGCTGCGGGAGGTGGGTCAC